GTGGGGCGCCCCCCCCGGGGCCCCCCGCTGCTGTGCTGCTGCTGGAGGGCAGCAAGCCCCCACTTCCCAGCTGCCATGCATGGGCAGGCCTTGCCTGGGAGGAGGAGGCCTGGTGGCCATCTTCTCCTCACCCACTGCTGGGCACCCCAGGTCCCAGGGCTGTTGCGGGGGGGATGTGTGTGGAATATGCTCCCCTGGAACCTGTGGGGGGTCCCACCAGCCTGGCCCCGCTGCTGGGGATGCCCTACATGTGCTGGGGGAGACCTCACAGGAGAGGTGGCATGGGTGAGGGAGGGAGTGAGAGCGACAGGCAGGGCTTTAGCCGATTAGCCTTATTAATAGAAATTAAACCCTGGCTGCGAGCACTGCAAAGTCCCCACAGCCCCCCCGCTGCTGCCCCACCACCAGGAGGCTGAGGGGCTTTGGGGTTTTACAGCCTGGGCCTTTCCCTCCCCAAAACACCACGTGGGGCAAGCCCCGGCCCCCTCCCTGGGAGTAAAACAAGTTTCCCCCATGTGTGGCCGGAGACTGGCTCATCCCCGGGAGCCTGCCAGACTCCCTTCTGGGTGGCAGCTTTTTTTTTGTGTTTTTTTTTTGGGGGGGGGGGGGTGGTTAGTGAGCTGCCAGGGGTGGGCTGGATCTGGCACTTGGAGCCATGGATGGCACCTCGGCCGGTTCACCTTGTCTTCCTTCTCTGCTGGGCACATGCCCTGCAAAACCACGCCAGCGCTTCTCAGTCCTTCTGGCTGGCAGCTGAGGAAGCAGCAGGGGGCTTTGAAAGCAGCCCCTTCCCCCATTGCATCACTGAAGCATGAGCCCCTGCCCTCATCCTCCGCTGCCCTCCTCCCTGGCACCCTCCCTCCTGGCAGGGTCCATCACCACCAGCACTTCCCCGCCCTCGCCCCACTTCCTCCTGCCTCAGCCCCTCTGAATCTGCCCCCGCCAGCCTGCCCCGCTCTGCTGGGGGAAAGGCGAGGAGCCCCTGGGCAGTGGGATTACCGGGGGATTCGGGCCGCGGCAGGCAGCCACCTCCTCCCCATTGGCTGGGAAAGCCTCTTAAAAGTGGAGAAGTGCTTTCTGCCCGCTCAGCACCCGCCGGTCTCTGCCGACCTGAAACCATAAGCAGCTGCTGACCCACATCCACGCTGGGAGCGCCGTGGGGCACTACCTGCACCTGCAGGAGGCAAGAGGGTCCCCCCTGTGTGGGGCATCACCCCAGATTGGCCACGGGCAGCATTGGAGCTGGAGGAAAGCAGGCTGAGAGGGGGATTAGCTCTCTAGTGAGGACGTAGTCGCCCCACAGGAAGGAGTGGGGCACAAGAGACTGCTCCACGGGTGCTGGATTCCTGCAGGCATCGCCCTGTGCCCAGCTGACAGCATGCCCACCATGGAGCAAAGAGGCAGCAGGACCATCTAACCAGGAGCCCTTGTCCAGAGCTGGGAATTGCCAGCCAGAGGGAGAAGCGAGTGTTGCTGACGGGTCCGCTCAGCCCTTGGAGGCTCAGCCCGTGCTCGAGAGGCCGTCTCTTCGTTGTGCAGGTGAGTGGCGCAGAGGGATGTTTGCATCCTGGCACCGGCTGCTGACAGGACAGCTTGTCCCAGGCCTGAACTCATTTAATTCTCTAACAAATGTTTTCCTAGGGTGTTGTCTGCGGGCTGGGGAGGCTGGTGGCATGAATTGTGGCCCTTGCATTTAATAAGTAGACCGCCCCCCCCCATACTGTGTGGAGGCACTAGGAGCCATCCTAGCATTTCTGTGGACCCTCCTGGATGCAGCTTGCCTGGCACAGTGGGGCTTTGCTGGGCATTGTCCAGCACTGGATGCTCTGTGCTCTGTGTGCACCCAGGGACTGGTAGCCACGGCTGAACCTGCTGCGGCCTTCGCCCTCCCAACCTGGGCTTGTGACTTCTGGTGTCGGCGCAAGTCTTCTCTTGGCACCCACCTGCACCTCGCTCTGCATCTGTGCCTGCTCTGGCCCGCCTGCCTGTGATGCACAGGGAAGGGCAGGTGCCCACGCTGATGAGCTTTTTAGGTGCGCGTGAACTTACACGTGGTATTTTTACCCGTGAATAAAGCTCCTTAACTGAGGAGAAAATAATAGCAAGCTATAGAGTGTGCAAAGGCAGGTGCAGGGTACACGGTGGTGACCACTGTGTGCAGCCGTGAGCAGAAGAGCTAGGAGATGTGCCACAGTGTTAGGAACAAGGCAGCTCTGAACTGCCTGGCTCAGAGCTGGGATAAATCCTCCAGCAGAGCTGTGCAACAGCGTATTGGCCTTGGAGGCATCTCCACAGGCGAGCTCTTCTGGTGCACCTCATCTTTTTCAGCCAACGTCTAGCTGCAGGCCGGTAAAAGCCCTTCCAATGCCTTGCTGTACAGTTCTGTAGCATCGAGCAAGTGGCTCCTGCAGAGATACCCACCCAGCTCCAAACCCAGAGAGTGCTGATGGATACTTGGCTAGTGTCCTCTTCAAAATCAGATGCTGTTGACTCATCGTTGACAAGCAATGATACAGAAATCTCTGAAGAGCATGCCACAGACAGACAAATACTTTCTTGCTAGGAAGCTGAGGGGAAAAAAAAGATTAATTGCAACGGTTTGATTGATTCATTTCATTTGTGGTGCAGGATGAGATCAATAAGAACAAGGCTGGGAGAGGGGCGTGGATAAAAAGGCTCAGGGTATGTTTGGTGGCAGTCATTCTTATTTGAAGTGGCTATGTGCAGCAGATGGTGCAGCGGTGGAGCACCAGCACCGATCGAGAAATTGTTGTGCTTTTGCAGCAGGTCACCTTTTGTACAGCTGGAGCTGGGAGAGGAGCAGCAGGCAGGTAATGGTAGAAGCTGAGCGAGACTGTTCAGCCTGGCTGGCTGGGTGCCAATGATCCAGACAACACCAGAAAGGGTGTGAGGGGGAAAGTATGGGTGTCTGGAGAGTGTATAGTTAATAGTTTCTTCTTTGCAATGGTTCTTTGCCTTGAAGTACCCTGTCCTCAGTTCATGCCTCTGCCCCTTGCCACAGTCCCTGAGACCGGGGATGCAGGGGAGAGACTGAAGTAGGCTGTGCCAGCCCCTGTGGTTCAGCCCAAGAGCTGTTAGGGTACGGCCATCCAGGAGAGCTGCCCCAGTCCATGCTCAGAGAAAGCTCCTGCTCCCTTTTTTCATGGCTGATGGGGTCCTGAAGGTTTGGGGAGCTCTGCTTCAGGGACCTGTGGTGGTGGCAGGTGCCTCAGTGCTGTATTTTCAGGAGCAAGGGTCCCCCAGGGAGGGGAAGGAGGGGTACTGGTGAGGGTGGCTGGTGAGTCTTGTCCCACCCTTCCCTCCATAGGTCAACCTTGGCTTGGGCGCCTAACTAAAACCAACCAGCCAAGACCATTTTGTGCCTCCTCACATTGATGCACTGTGATTGCAGGTGCCATGCCCCTTGCTGAGGGGTCCAGAACTGACCTAGTTGTCTTTTCTTGCAAGTCCTTCCTCCAACATCCCCTAAACTAGTTTCAAACCCCTTTCAAAGCAATTCTCAGTCCTGTTTCCAGCCTTGGCTCTGCACGCTGAACCTCCTGCACCCTGAGAAAGACCAATCATCACTCTACTTTTCTGCAAGATTCAAGGGTGCCATAGGGGTAAGACCACCTCTTGCCGAGCAAGGGCCCTTTACCTGGGCTCTGCCCCAACTTGTGCCATCGATGCTTTTGCCTAAACGATTTGCACTTCTTTAACATGCAGATCCATGTCAGAGCAACAGCAGCTATGGGAATCAGGTCAAGTCACACAGAATCACAGAAGAGAGGCTTCCTTGAGAAATGCACCCAGATCCAAAATTCCCGAGTGCTAGCCTCCTGTGTCCCATCCATAGGAGTGTCATTGGCCCCTCCACAGCCTCCAGTCAGTATGTGACTTCTGGCATTTCCCACAACTGCTGGTGTCAAGGGATGGGGACATTGCCTCCATCTCATAGTCCTTCAGCCAAGGGAGCTGGGGAGGAGAGAGGACCCACGTTGGGAGTGTACTGCCAGCAGGATGGTGGTAGGGTAAACCAGACCTAACAAAGACCAGCTTAGGCATGAAGAAAGCCCCCCCTGCTTTCTAATGCTTGTCTGATGCTACTTGGGAGCATCTTAAATCAAAGTCCAGTGATGGTTTTGCATACAGGTATGAAAATAACCCTGGATGATCAATAAACTGAGTCCAATGGTGCTGGAAGGCAGAGACCTGATGCCTAGGGGAGAAATGAGAAAAAACATACCCACAGCAGCCAACTGGAGCAAAATTCCTGGGCAGCTTAAGAGCCCCAAGAGCGACTCACAAGACATCCTCTCTAATTCCCTCCTTCTCCCCCCCTAGGCTTTGTTCCGGCCCCTTCATGTAGGTACAGAGCCCTAATCTCTCTGGCATGCAAATAACCACTGGTTTGCCGTGCTCTCCCCCTTCACCCATTTTCTGAATCTGGCCCCTCATGGCGGGGAAGGGAGGGCAAGGGAGAGGTGTGGACACCAGGGCCTCCCAGAGCACAGCACGCTTAATGGATCTCCTGTGCCTCGGTGTAGCAGGGCAGGTCCAGCTGGAGCAGGAGAGATCTGGGGAGCCAAAAGGGCTTCAAGTTGCTGCCTCTCTCCTTGCACTAGCCTGCAGGCAAGGCTGGATATGGAGGAAGTAGGGTGTTGCAGATCCTGATGCCCCACCACATCAGATGCAGCTCGCCAGTCTCAGCTGGGAGCTGTGACCCTGCTCAGCTGTGTCTGACCAGGGGTTATGGAGCTGTGGGCTACCCCAAGCACAGGAGGAGCTTCCCACCTCTGCCCAGCTGTGGCTTGACCTTGCACCCTGAAGCAATCCTGCCTCGCCTGGCAGGATGAAGGTGCAAAGAGATGATGTGGTCCCCCAGTGAGGCTCTTGGAGCTTGGAGATGGTGGGTATGGAGAGAAACCTTGTAGTAAATACTTGCCTGCTTTGCTTTTCTCTTCTCTTCTTGCAGTGCCTGGAGATTACTCTCTCTTTCTCTCTCTCTCTGTTGCCCTACCTCCTCCCGGCCTGCCTTTCCCCTCCCAGGCTAGACAATGGGGAGACGTGACCCAGAGGAAGGGCAGTCCCCAGCTCCCGTGAAGCCCCCAGATGGTGGCTGGGGCTGGATCGTGCTCTTTGGCTGCTTTGTCATCACCGGCTTCTCCTATGCCTTCCCAAAAGCCGTCAGTGTCTACTTCAAGGAGCTCATGAAAGATTTCCATGTGGGCTACAGTGACACAGCCTGGATCTCCTCCATCATGCTGGCCATGCTCTACGGGACAGGTGATGCTTGGACACACTTCCCCCTCCCCAACTTGTTCCTTCCTTACCCCACTACAGGCCCAGACCATGTCCCCATCGGCCTTCCTCACACTTGTTGGCCTGGTCACGAACCAACATGCAGGATACAATTGGCCCACCACTTCTCTGCTAGAAGTGTGCTGCATTTCATGTCCCTGCTTGCCCTGGGAGACCTCAGGGGTCACCCCACCTGCCTCTCAGACAGCTGTCATGGGGTTTGCTCCCATTGTTGAAGTGCTACCCCTGCCACACCAAGGCCCTCTTGTTCCCAGGGAACAGGATGCTGAAGGCAGGGCAAAGCAGAGGTCTCCACACTGCAGCCTCTCTCCCTTTGCTGGGCCCAACAGATGTGTATCTAAGCAGCCAAGTAGAGATCTCCATCACCAGTGTTTCACCTTCCCCGAGTGCCCTCTTAGGCTGGCTGCCCCTTCCCAGTTGTCCTGTGTCCTTCTGGTGTCCTACTCTGTCTCCTCCGCTTCCTCCCAGGACCAGTATGCAGCATCATGGTGAACCAGTTTGGCTGCCGGCCCGTGATGCTCATCGGCGGTCTGCTAGCTTCCTCTGGGATGATCCTGGCATCTTTTACTACCAATATCATTGAGCTTTATCTGACAGCTGGCGTGCTGACGGGTGAGAGCCCCAGGAGTTGGGGGTGGGGGGCAGACTCACCGGGGGAAGAGCCAAGACCATGTTGCATGTCCCTTTACCATCACCATGTCTAGCATCAGGTCCTCCCTCACCTATTTGCACTTGATCACAGGAGGCATCTAGTCCTGAACATTGCACCTGTGGGAGATGCATCTGCTGGGTCTAAAAAGGGAGGGCTTGTGGTTGAGGGGAGAGGGACAGAAGAAACATCAGTGATGCTCAGTGATCATGGCAGCTGGGGTAGCATCGGTATATAGCGGTCGGAGAGAGAGGAAAAATTCCTGTTTAAGGCCCAGGTCCTGTCTAAACATGGCCACAGCTACCCGACACAAACACATTTTAGGTAGCAGGCTGGTTTAGCCATCTTCTCTGGGGTCGACCCACGAACCTGCAGGAGCAGAGGCTTGTGAGGAACATGTGAATCCAATCACGGGAGTGCAGGACTAGGGTAGTCTTGGGGGGGAGTTTTCAGCTTGTTGTGAACCACATCTCATGTTCTTGCATTCCCTGTCCCCTTCCCGGCTCTCACCCTTATGTAGGTCTGGGTATGGCATTGAACTTCCAGCCCTCACTGATCATGCTGGGCACCTACTTCGACAAGCGTCGGCCTCTTGCCAATGGACTGGCTGCTGCTGGGAGCCCTGTCTTCCTTTCCTCCCTCTCTCCACTGGGGCAAGTGCTGCTGGAGAAGTTTGGTTGGCGAGGAGGGTTCCTTATCATGGGGGGCCTTCTGCTTAACTGCTGCACTTGTGGGGCAGTCATGAGACCCCTGGATATGGGCATGAAGAGGAAGATGGAGAAAACTCAGGATAAATATGAAGCGAAGGAGATGCTGCCCATAGGAGGGAAATCAGAGGAGGGTATTAGCACCACTGATGGAAACAAGAAAGCCAAGAAAGCCAAGAAGAAGCCCAAGAAAGGCAAAAAGCTTCTGGATTTCAGTATCTTTTCCAACCGAGGGTTTATCATTTACACTATTTCAAAGTTCATCCTGGTCTTGGGTCTCTTTGTGCCCCCCATATTGCTGGTCAACTACGCCAAAGACACAGGCGTACCAGACACAGAGGCTGCATTCTTGCTCTCCATCATTGGTTTCATAGACATCTTTGCCCGCCCAGCCTGCGGCATGGTGGCAGGGTTGAAGTGGGTCCGCCCTCACGTGGCATACCTGTTCAGCTTTGCTATGCTCTTCAATGGCTTGACAGACATCTGCAGTGCCAGGGCTAGCAATTACACAGGGCTGGTCATCTTCTGCGTCTTTTTTGGCATCTCTTATGGCATGGTGGGGGCACTGCAGTTTGAGGTGCTGATGGCCATCGTTGGCTCCCAGAAGTTCTCCAGTGCCATCGGGCTGGTCCTACTTATCGAGGCTTTTGCTGTACTCATCGGTCCACCCTCTGCAGGTAGGTCTCTTGCTGCAAAACACAGGTGATTCATTTGGCTGCCATTCCACAGTATTGCAGGTATTGGGTGTGGTACTTGAAGACAGACCCTATTTCTCAACTTAAAATTTCCTCTGGAAGCTGAGATCTGAAGTGAGAGCTCCCAGTCTCATTCCAAGTACCACAACACTGAATCTGAGCAAGGGCAGGAGATGGCAAGTGATATTTCTCTTTCTGGTTTCCTCAGAGACCTGAGCGATGGCATACAGAGCTATCCAGAGTGGCATGACTTCCACTGTCCCTCAGTGCTGATCAGTGGCACTTCCCGCTCTTTCATGCTGGGATCCAGGTCTCTGCCTTCACTGCAGATGTTGCATAAAATCATGTTATGGGTAGGGTCAGGCACATGCTGCAGGCAAACCTTTGAGAGTCTTTGGAAGGAGAAGGTGAGGGTCTTTCAAGTTCTCCTTGGTGTCCGTGGCCTTCAGATTGATGCTGTGACTAGTGATCTCAATTTGTGTTGGCCCTGATCCCAAGGCACAGGCATTTTGGTGTCAATCAAGTCAAAACAGTTTGTAGAGCCACCTGAGGCATTTGCTCTTTCTTTTTTGAAGAGGATTAAGACACTTACAGCTTCTCAACCAATCTAGTCTAGGCCACAATCCCTGGTAAGGTCCACGCCCCACAAGCAGCCCGTAAACAGGCTGTTGAATGGGGAGCGACCCTTCACCCAAGAGGTTAGTGTAGGTTACTGTTAAGTGTCTGATCAGGTCTGAGAAAGCCAAATCATGCCAAAGGCTTATTTCCAAATGAAGTGCAGTTCCCTGCATATGCAGTCTGCGAGGGACAGACCATGGACAAATCCCAGGGCAGGAACCACTCGTTGCTCCTTGCACTCCCTTCCTTCAGCTGCAACACATGGGCTAAAGCCTATCAGTGTGTGAATGACCTCTTCCCCAGCACATACCACCAGTTATGAGCAAAACCCGCCCTCAGCAACTCCACTCAAATCTCAGGTGAAAACTGGTGGCCAAGTGAAGACTCTTGATGCTAACAATAATTCATGTCCCATCTTACAAATGGTGGGGCAGTTGGCAGTCCAAGTCCAGGGAAGGTCAAGAAACGTGTGTCTCAGAGGCAGCTGCAGAGAGATCATGGGGGAAGAGGGGAATTTAACAGCGCCTTGCTCCAAGGAGTAAGACATCCCAGTGGGTGATGATGGAGGACGTCCCTTAGCCCTCCTGCCTCAGTTCAGCTGTGACTTGGTACTGTGCGCACGCACAGTGGGACGCAGATGGTGCAGGGTCACAAAGAACGGTGTTGGGGGGAGTCAAGTCGTGGTTCCCACCTTCGTCCCCGGGGGGCGGGGGGG